CTTGGTGTACCTCCATAAACTGGCAACTTTGTGTGTGTGTGTATAAAACCTGAAAACATATCTGTGTACACACACATTTCATTTAGCAGCCAATGTAGCCTGGATTGTTTTGATGTTTTTCGATGAGGGTTTGTTTGGACTAAACAAGAATTCATTCTACTTTCCAGACCATCAAGATGGCTGGCCGTCGTGTTGCCCTGAAGGCCATTGACTGGGTGGCGTTTGCTGAGCGCGTTCCGCCCAACCAGAGGGGCATGTTCAACGCACTGAAGACTCGCAGTGACGCCATTGCTGCCAAGTTAGTTTTACACCAACAACTTGCTTTAGATAGTCAACATCAGTCTTATAGTACTGAACTTCAGTCTTGGCTAATGCTCTCAAACTGAATATTCATTGAAATCAGTAGCACTTGGTGGTTAATGTGTTTTCTTGCTGATAAGCAAAACAGCATCAATCTGAGGGACGTTTCAAAGGAGTCGGCTGTTGTCGGAATGTATCTCCCATTCAATGACCGTGTCGTGTGTCCACTGCTCACCTGTAAGGCTGCAACAATTATTTTTATTGTCGATTCATTTCTCAATTATTTGATTAGTTGTTCCAGGTTTAGAAAATTGTGAAAAATGTCTATCAGTGCTTCCCAAAACCCAAGATGATGTCTTTTGTACACAACCCAAAGGTATTCAGTTTACTCTCACAAAGGAGTAAAGAAGTATTAACATTTGAGAAGCTGAAATTAGAGAATTTGAATAGTTTTTTTCCTTAAAAAAAGAATTCGAGTGATAATCAATTATCAAAGTAGTTGGCGATTAAATTAATAGTAAATTAATAACTAATTGATTAATCGTTGCTCTACTCACCTGACAGAAGCTTTGCACAACAATTGCATATAAATATGTAGAAGAACATTTACATTTATTCATTTAGCTGACGCTTTTTATCTCTGCTTTCTGGAGCAACTAGGGGTTAAGTGTCTTGCTCAGGGACACAATGGTGGATGAGTCACAGTGGGGGATTGAACCCAGGTCTCTGACACCAAAGGCATAGTTTTATCCATTGCGCCATGTATCACCACCCCATTTACAGTGTGCAGTTGCTTGTGTGTGTGTGTGGATGTTCTTTTTTGTATTTACACATCAGGGCTAAAGTCAATTTTAATTCTTTGTTCGCTTGAATATTTAAAAAAAATAATAATTTGGTCAAACTGATCAAGTGCTCAACCTACAGAAGCACCTATACCCATTATGTATTATACTTTGCTTCTTTCTTATTAAGTCCTCATTATCAGGGAACTGCATTGGGCTATTAATTGGTCTCTTATAAGAACTATCCTCTTTATACAGCATTTGAATTGCGCACACCATGAAGCTATTACATTACTCCTGTTAGTCGCTCATTACAGCTAATTTCTTGTACTGATTTGCTTCTTCGATGTCCTATTAGTTTGCTCACTGTGCCTTCGTTGTCAGCTGTTAAACTCCGTCCTCTCTCTTTATACCAGACTGACCTCCCTGCCAGAGACTCCTGCAGCCATGGACTGGAGTTACTACAGGAGCGCCGTGGCCAAACCCGGAATGGTTGATGAGTTTGAGAAGAAGGTGAGTTTTACTCAAATGGTTTATTGAACAGGTCATGATCGTTATGCAGTCTCTCTATGTAATGTGGTTTAAAATCCCACTACTGACACTACACAGCAACTTTCTCTGTAATTGTAGGTACCTATTTTAAACATGGTTAATTCTATGGAGCATAAATACACTGCTCAAAAAAATAAAGGGAACACTAAAATAGCACATCCTAGATCTGAATGAATGAAATAATCTCATTAAATACTCCTTTCTTTACATAGTTGAATGTGCTGACAACAAAATCACACAAATTATCAATGGAAATCAAATTTATCAACCCATGGAGGTCTGGATTTGGAGTCACACTCAAAATCAAAGTGGAAAACCACACTACAGGCCGATCCAACTTTGATGTAATGTCCTTAAAACAAGTCAAAATGAGGCTCAGTAGTGCGTGTGGCCTCCATGTGCCTGTATGACCTCCCTACAACACCTGGACATGCTCCTGATGAGGTGGCCGGATGGTCTCCTGAGGGATCTCCTCCCAGACCTGGACTAAAGCATCCGTCAACTCATGGACAGTCTGTGGTGCAACGTGGCGTTGGTGGATGGAGCGAGACATGATGTCCCAGATGTGCTCAATTGGATTCAGGTCTGGGGAACGGGCGGGCCAGTCCATAGCATCAATGCATTCCTCTTGCAGGAACTGCTGACACACTCCAGCCACATGAGGTCTAGCATTTACTTGCATTAGGAGGAACCCAGGGCCAACCGCACCAGCATATGGTCTCACAAGGGGTCTGAGGATCTCATCTCGGTACCTAATGGCAGTCAGGCTACCTCTGGCGAGCACATGGAGGGCTGTGCGGCCCCCCAAAGAAATGCCACCCCACACCATTACTGACCCACCGCCAAACCGGTCATGCTGGAGGATGTTGCAGGCAGCAGAACGGGTCTCCACGGCGTCTCCAGACTCTGTCACGTCTGTCACATGTGCTCAGTGTGAACCTGCTTTCATCTGTGAAGAGCACAGGGCGCCAGTGGCGAATTTGCCAGTCTTGGTGTTCTCTGGCAAATGCCAAACATCCTGCACGGTGTTGGGCTGTAAGCACAACCCCCACCTGTGGACGTCGGGCTCTCATACCACCCTCATGGAGTCTGTTTCTGACCGTTTAGCAGACACATGCACATTTGTGGCCTGCTGGAGGTCATTTTGCAGGGCTCTGGCAGTGCTCCTCCTGCTCCTCCTTGCACAAAGGCGGAGGTAGCGGTCCTGCTGCTGGGTTGTTGCCCTCCTACGGCCTCCTCCACGTCTCCTGACGTACTGGCCTGTCTCCTGGTAGCGCCTCCATGCTCTGGACACTACGCTGACAGACACAGCAAACCTTCTTGCCACAGCTCGCATTGATGTGCCATCCTGGATGAGCTGCACTACCTGAACCACTTGTGTGGGTTGTAGTCTCCGTCTCATGCTACCACTAGAGTGAAAGCACTGCCAGCATTCAAAAGTGACCAAAGCATCAGCCAGGAAGCATAGGAACTGAGAAGTGGTCTGTGGTCACCACCTGCAGAACCACTCCTTTATTGGGGGTGTCTTGCTAATTGCCTATAATTTCCACCTGTTGTCTATTCCATTTGCACAACAGCATGTGAAATTGATTGTCAATCAGTGTTGCTTCCTAAGTGGACAGTTTGATTTCACAGGAGTGTGATTGACTTGGAGTTACATTGTGTTGTTTAAGTGTTCCCTTTATTTTTTTGAGTATTGTACATTGGAGGCGTCTTTAGAGGCCATAGAATCTGACAAATCTCAGCTTGTCACTTTTAGGATCTCTTGAAATTACTTTTTGTCTGAACTGTGAGGGTGACCATGCTAGTAAATAATTGAGGCAGCTTGAATTCCTTTTTGGCCCCTCTGCAAAAAAAAACAACAAAAACAACAACTGGTGGTAGTACAGCTGAGTCATAATTTCATTAGTTTGTTAAGCATTAGTTGGTTTGCGCTACTGTGGTAAATCATAAATGTTCCTCCTACATGCAGTTCAAAGCCCTGCAGATCCCTGAGCCTGTTGACACACAGACAAGCGCCATCAATTCACAGGAGGCTGAAGCTGTAAGTGATTTACATCAAACAAATCCATGTGTGGCCTGAATTTCCGTTTTACTGTACTGTTGTGATGTTTTGACTTTCAATTTGAAAATGCTTACAGTTAAACCAATTTGGCAGTTATGTGTATTTATGTAACTACTGTGGGAATTTCATAATGACAATTATGAACTTCACCCAACACAAAAACAGACCATGTAAATTAAAGGGAGACGGACATCACAACTGGAATTCATTTTCAGTTTTATCAGTGATATGATATGCTGTTGTCATTGTTGCGTTGTCAGATGTAATTTTTTCACTTTTCTCTAATAGAACAAAAGTGCATCAGTCTACATGGAAGCATCTAAGGCCCGTATTGCTAAGTATGAGAAAGAGGTGAGATGCTAGTTGCATTAGTTGCTAAAACACATGAAATCTGTATTTATAACCTTGGTAGGGTTTTTTTCCCCCCTGACTGTCTCTTTCTGCTCTTTGTGTTTGGTCTCAGTTGGATAAGTTTAAGAACATGATCCCCTTCGACCAGATGACCATCGAGGACCTCAACGACACCTTCCCTGAGACTAAGTTGGACAAGGTCAAACATCCCTACTGGCCCCACAAGCCCATTGCGGAGCTGTAATCCTATTACTCACCTCACAATAAAGATTATGTATTTTAAAGGGAACTGTTTGATTTTATTATTTGATAAACATGTGAAGAGAAAATTTTTCTTTTTTAAAATATCTGCTGAAGACCAAATGCAGCTTGTGATCTTGCAGGTAGTGCACACTAGGGGGCGATGTTGCTGTAGTTGTACTTTGAACGGTAAGCTTGGTGGTTACAACATTTCAACATAGGCTATATAATCTTTAATCATTGCACTTTCCGCTTGGTTTGATATCTGGAGATATATATTACCAATGCTACTGTGCTTCGGTGGGCATTAAATCATAGTCATGATTAAATTTTTATTTTTATTTTTATTACTGTGGAGCACAACGGTTGGTAAATAACACAATTTATGTAATTAATCGATAATTAAGCATTGCATATTTGCATACAGTATATTGTACATCAAATATTTACTCTTCTCAACCGTGTCCCATATCGTGTAAGTGTAATTGAAACGCTCAAAAGTGAATCTGCATTTATAGTTAATATAAATATAGTTAATTGTTAATAATTGCTGTTGTCCAATCATGGATCGACTAGCTTAGTCCCTCACCCACCGATTTAGTTACTTGTAAGTGGGAGGGACATCGGCGTTTCGCCCAGCTCTGTATTTTGATTCGTCCTTCATTACAGCATCTCAGTTGTTGATTGGCCAGAGCTTTGGGGGAAGTAAAAGAGGAGGGTCTTCATCAAAACTGATTTCCGTTGTATGTTTGACAGTCAGTGACGATTGACGGGAATCCATCAGCTCAGGTAAATTGCCTTCTCCGATCACCCATCTATAATTTAATGACATGATTTCAGTATGATATGTTTTAGCAAACGGACGTGTGATTCACTGGCAATTTTACTAGGTTTTTTTTTTTACGTTAGCGTTGGCGAGTAACCAGTGGTGAAAACAACATAACGTTATATCCGCTGTGTCAACAATGGTAACGTTAGAGCTCAGCTAGATGTCTCCCGCGGAGGTCAAACATTTAAAACGCAACAGCATCAGAAATCACGTTCGCTTCTACATTAATGATGGCATGGAGTTGTTTTACTTCCACACCCGTGATTAGGACCACAGTAAACCGCTATATCAGCAGCTTTGCTAGCTAAGTCAGCTAACGTTACCCAGTGACAACGTTAGCCATCAGAGACTGACATGACGTTAAAACGTTAACGAAAGATGTGATGATCAGCCAGGTGCCCTCTGTCCTGGATGGCTGAAAAAACAAATGGATGTTTGATTCTGCTATTTTTAACCCAACGAATTTAGCCAAAGACTCATTGTAATATCTCTCCGAGTGGATAAGTCATTTTACACTCCTGAATATAAACAATAAGGCCGAACTAATATCTATTGGCCACAGTCGCCTACAGGCTATATGTGACTGTTAAGCTAACGGGACACCACTGCGTCAAAACACCCTCTAACGCGACTGGTGTGAATTAGCTGCATTCAGAGCCAGTTTGAGGTTTATTGAGTATTCTGCTTCGCTTGGTGTGTTTACAATACAATTTAACAATCTGGCCAAGGGATTTACGAAGGGGTCAGAAAGGCAACACCTCTGTGGGTGCAAATTATGCTTAACTATTTTGGCTGGAGAGAAATATGAGCAGATGTCGTCCTCTGAGATCACCTTGGTCAGTACTTTGCTGTCGTTTGGGCTTAAGTTTTATTTGTGACAGGGTTGTAAGGAGGTGTAAGTGTGAAGTGACATTTCATATTTTGTTTTGACTTCCAGGGTCAAAGGTGACAGACAGGACTTTTGTCTCGCCTAGTTGGTGTAAGTTTGTTTTGAGGATAGCGCATTCAACTAAAGACACGTCTCTCTGTAGTTATCCTCCTCTACTGTTAAATTTGTATAATATGAATGTAATGCAGACTCAACATTTTGTAATGTCTTTTTACCTTTTTACATTTTCCAAACGTACATCATCTAAATTATGGGTTCAAACGCATCATAAGGCCTCATAACACTACAGGCGTGTTGTTGTGAAACTCATGCCATAGAGTGTGTATTGTGTTAGGTGAAAACAGACATGCTTGTGTGAGTGGTCGGCCCAGGTCTGCCCCTGGATTCAACACTAGCTTCATTGTTCATAGAGAACAATGGGAGTAGGTCTGCACAGAGGGAGGCAGGAGAGGTTGACTACTGTCTCATCCCTAGGGAGATAGCAGGCCTGTGCTTTTCTTACAGTGTTATTACCACACAGACTCTCATCTGAGAGATTATGGCCTTGAAACTGGGTGTTTGTGCCTCACAGCGTTACTTCATGTAACACGACACTCCCATCCTCAGCCTTTCACTGATTGAATTTCATCTATGCAGCACTCCCGGGCCACTGATGTTGTAGATTAAACAGGAAATACACCAGATGAAAGATGCAGCTGATGCCAGCCTGTGTTGTTGCTTCATATGTAGGCTAGACAATATTTGGGACATTGCTGGTGTCATTGGCACACATGTTCTCCAAATTTTAGCAGTCAATATCAGCAGGAAACACAAGTCATCGTAATTAATAACCAAAACAAGGGCTTGGGCAACATGGCCAAAAATGTTATCACGATAAAAAAATTAATATTAATCTGTGACAATATTTATCACTATAAATGTCAGTCATTTGCTCCTGAGTGAAAGTTGACAAAACCAGATGGTTAGTTGTGGTTTTAAACTTTTCTTTATTATCAGAACATGACAAACACGTGCCAAACAGTGGGTCATTTCACAAATCTAAGGTTAACAAATATGCATAAGGAAACTAAGTCCTCCACAAAATAAATATCTTACTAGAAAAAGTACTGCTGATTCAAATGAATTAAATTGAACATTTGCTATAGTTATATTGAGGAAAATTATATTGCAATAATAACAGTTTCATAGCCCAGCCCTAACCAAACTTCAGATTAGAGCCGAATTTGTCAACTAATTGATTAGTTGGTACAAAACGTGCAACTATTTTGATTACTGATTCATCGTTTTCAAGCAAAAATAGTGGGGGGAAAAAACCCTCTTGCTCCACCTTAGTTACAGTCCATCCTCAGATTATGATTAGTTTTTTATTAGCAGTATTCAAGTAGAGTAGAGGTATTATGAATCAAGTTCATCAAAATGCATTGTCTAAAGACTAAATGGTAATCAATTATTCAATCTATTAATATTAACATACTTTTAAACATTCATAAGATGGATACTTGGGACACTGAACACAAGGCCTATTTTATTATATGGCTATGGTAATGTCTTTCCTCTAATGGTCTTGAAGTTTTGTCTATTAGCCATGAGACGCTTGCTTGTAAATAGGCTTCTTCATGCTAGTGCTGTAGCCTACTTTGTATGCCCTCTGCAAACATGGAGTCTGTGTTGTTAGCTAGATTGTTTTTCCTCCAGCACCACTTTCCACTGGAGTTGGAGTGAGAAATTTTTGGACCTCTGCGAGCTAAGCTAGCATAGCTGTTTATTTGTCCGTAGACAGTGAATGAAGCTTGTTGTACCATCTACAGCACATACGCCTGTGTCAGCTGAATCAGTCTGTACTGGCAGATGTGGGCAGAGAGGCGGTATGTGGCCGGCCTGGATGAACTTTAGCTCCGGTGCAGTAGAGCATCAGAGGATTATGGTCAGGCTTCTCCCAGTGAATGTGCTTGGTTTTATGATGTAAAAAGGGGCAACCTGGGAAGGTAAAATATCACAGTATGTAGAAGCATCTGTTTCTTTGAAAAGCCTGTGTGGTCATTGAATTGGTTTCACGGTAAATTAAACAAAAGCTGCAGCAGTTAATTTCTCAAAGGGACAGGCAGTGCAGGTACTTTCAAAAACAAAATATTCTGGTTTTCTACAGCTTTCCTCGCAAAGACATCAAGTTGTATGCTGGTTGAAAACTTTTCTATCACTTAAGGTATGATTCATGATTAGTGGGAATAATCATTCTTGCATCACAATTTTCCTTTTCACTGGGAAAAAAAAAGATTTAAAATCATGATGCTGTGACATTTGTTGTCAATATTTCAATTAATTGTGCAGTCCTACTCTAAATCTCCAATAGAAGTGGTACCAATTAATTGGGACAGTAAGAAGGTCATCTTTGAAGGGAGGTGACTGGAGAGGGATGGGCGGATAAAACGAGGGGTAGGGGTTACCATCTGGATATGTTTTTATCTGTTATCTAGTTAGGCTGGTGTGTTTGTGTGTGTGTGACAGAGACAAAGCCTGGCCCAGTGACCTCTGCAGTGTGCTGCTGTAGGACGCAATCATTTGATCCGTCTCAGATTCTAGTGCTCGGTTAAAGTGATTTTAAGGAGAGATTAAGTACAGTTGTTAACTAGACAGTTAATGCAAACAGAGCTGTGTGCTAACGGCTTCATTTCCTCTCTTTCTCTCTCTCTCGTTTAACCACACTTACTGGTTTCTCTTCACTGGTTTTGCAGTAGCTTGGAGCAATTTGTTGTTTGCGTGCATGCGTGTCCATGGTAACAATAAGATATTTTCTTGATAGGAAGGTTTTGACACCGTTGGGACGTTGGGCTGCAGCCACATGTCTTTCTATGGATGCAGCTGAAAAGTTAGGGAAAAGATTTTAATTTCTGTACGTGATTTCCCCTGTGATAGACCATTTTCACAGCAGACATTTATAGTTGTAAAAGCAATGGTGTTGCTTATAACATTAACAATGGCTCTGTTCTGTTCAAGTGTCTCAGTAAACAGTGGCTGTGTGACTGTGAGCCAACAATACCAGGGCTCAGTTAAATAGCATCATTGATTTTAGTATTCATAACTGTGCTTTTCCCATTGTGACATGTCAAAATGCCTTCCACAAAAACGGCCTGTTGAGTATGTGCATCTGTCTCTGTTTCCAGTGGCCGTTGATGGACAATCCCTATGAAGAAACAGGGTTACAATGGGAAGTACCTCGGAACAAGAGGTCCCGGGAGAGGTTGGTTTGTTCACTCTATTTGTTTTCATAATGATTAAAAACATGGAATAAAGCAATTAACCCGCGGTATACAAGTGCATTAAGTGCAGCCCTGGATCAGGGATGTGCCATCAGAAGTTGTTAAGGGGGTTAACAAATGGGTGTGACAGAAATGGTGAAGCCTAATCTGTGCTGCCAATTTCCCTCCTTCTAAAAGGAAAGAGAAAGGCCAGCTTTAGGCACAAAGGAAGATTGTCACAATTGAAAAATAAATAATTAACAGCCACAGACAATTAGTCTACACATATTGCAGCCAGTGAGCAGCACAGGTCACCATAGCAGCTCATAATAGCAAACCATCTTCCTTACTACCATCAAACTCAGTATGACCTTTCCGCAGCATTGGTCAGATGAATGTGGTTGGTAAACTGAGAAGTCCTCTCTCAGCTGAACTTGACAGTTGAAACGGCCCACTAGCAATGTAAAACCTCTAGAGAGTTCTGCTAGTGTTTTTAGTGACAGACTTTCAATTTTTAAGACATGTCTGGCGTGTCATTTTAGTGGACCCGTCACGCTACAAATTGCACACACGTGCACACTTTTCGCACTTTGATTTCCAAACTCCATTACGCCTACTTGAAGCCTCCAGCTAAGCTGTACTTCCGTGTGCACATGCTGCCCGCGCACTCACCTAACCATCCGCCCCAATGTCCGTATCCCCAGTGTGCAGCTTAGGCCTTTTATTGCCAAATAACCCATAGTTCCTCACACAGATCAATAACCACTGATAACAGACATGCAGTCTCATTGGTTGCCAGCCAAAACACTAAAAACATATTACTCTTGCTCTTACAGTACTGTGTCTGATTGCTAGCCACACACACACACACAGAGTACAACAAACAAGCTTATCTGGGCCTTGATCTTTCCACTACCAGCACTGACAGTGTTTTGATGAATGGTTTGTTTGATGTTTGTGAACTTAAGTATCCTTAATCAAGCCACAAGTGAAAACTAATCTGCTTTCAATGAGTATTTGTCTTCTGTTAAGCTACTTGTTTTTGATTTTGGAAGACAAAGCCATTTCCTTCTTGTTCTTATGCTTTCCCCTCCTGTAGTTGCTTTCTGTCTCCCTCTGCCACCTCCAAAGTCCAGCTCCATCAGTTTTCATTATATCTTGGTGTCAGCTTATGGGCCTTGTCTATGATTCACATGAATACAGCGATACACACAAGGGTGGAATTCAGTTATGACTAGGTCCCACTACATGTTTTTTTTATGCATTCAAAACTAGACTGGACTGCTCCAACCACTGCAGTAAGGTAGGAATTAGCGTAGCTCTGGGCCTGATATTCAGCACAGGTTAACTTGTAGAGTGACCTGCAGACCGTGGCCTATCCAGTGGGGCCCGGACCACTCAGCTTTTATTTTTAAGCTCAGTCTGCTAACATTAAGAATTAATTCAGTTCAGTGTTATCTGCTTTCTTTAGATCTATTAGAGCGAAACAGATTAGCTTATCTTATCATTCATGCCTGACTTGCTTTCTACAGTTTGCCAGTTTGTAGCCTCTGAATCCAGCAACTTCATATCTGGAATCGTCCATCTGTACATAGGTAGCCGAAAAAAGGAAGCTCTGTTTTTAACAGAGTGAAAAGTAAAAGCTTGGGAAACATGGTCGGAAACACATGCGAGGGCGCAAGCGTGGAGAGGTCTGATAAGATGTTTCATGTTCATCCCCTCACAGTCTGACATTACTGCATCCAGGGCAAATCCCTTATTCCTACATTCCATTACACTTGAATGGAAGTGAAGCCTTCAGGCCCAGGCTCACTGTAGGACGTAGCAGCCCTCGTGTATGAGACTGAAGCACATGCTGCCTGTAGAGGTTTTGGTTGTTTGTTTGGATTAGTAATGTCTCTGTATTTCTCTGTTACATTAGGACGGGTTTAGAAACATCAAGACATTTGTGGAGGAGGAACTACAGACGAGCATGGTGAGTTTCATTTACACATTTAATGTTTTTCCCATTGTATTCATTCAGTTGCTGTTGGGTCACCCCTGCAGGAAATTGTATCACTACCGTACATGTTTCACCATCGCAAGTGAGAAAATAAAGAAATACAATTTGGCTCATTAATATTTAGAAAACACAATCATGTAGGTGAAATAATGCAGCAATAACAAATTAAAACATCGAAGTAAATAACAGTTTTCACGCTGGACATTTGTCATTAAGCAACATGTGACCCTGTCCACACATCAACTCTCTTTCTCTTTTGTTCTTCTCTTCAGATGGTGGGGATGGTGATTGGCGCGGGCATCGCCATAGTCCTCATCGCCATTCTCATCTTCTTCATCTTGCGGAGGATCCAGCTTCGAAGTCAGTAACTGCAGAGATCGTTGTCTCACCAGTGCACTGAGAACATGTAATGATAGTCATGAAAAATGAAAACTATATTTCTGCACTAATTTCTCGTTTCTTATCCTTGACAGACCTTGAAGCGCAGGAGGCCCCCAAATACCGCTTTCGCAAGAGGGACAAGGTCATGTTCTACGGGCGAAAGATCATGCGTAAAGTGAGTGTGTGGCTGACAGAGAATTATAATACTTCAACAGTCAGTATGCAAATCAGCATTTTAGTTTAATCATGGCCTGGCTCACATGTCATCCCTCTAGTTTTTTAGTCTACCACAACAGCAGGATCATGGGACTACTATTTAAACCAATAGGTTTCCCAACAGGTCTCGCAGTCTACCTCTTCCCTGGTGGGTACATCCTCTTCCTCTCGACCACGCCTCAAGAAGAAGCAGAAGATGCTCAACATTGCCAAAAAGTATATCAGAAAGCTTACTCACACCAATAATAAAGCCTCTATTTACTGTTATGACCTGTTCACCGTTTCACACTCATTCCCGTCTGTCCTCCTGTCTTTCTGCTGTGCAGAATCCTGCGCTTTAAAAAGGAGGTGCCCATCCTGCAGGCCAAGGAGCCCCCTCCCTCAGTGCTGGAGGCTGATCTCACTGAGTTTGATGTGGCCAACTCCCACCTCCCCTCCGAGGTGCTCTACATGCTCAAAAATGTCCGGTAGGTTGGTCTTCCTCGTCACATCTATTTAATTGTTTTATAATGTACATATATCTAATCCTCGAAAGGCCCAAACATGTCCGTACATTAAGAAAATCCTGTCAGGCATGAGCAACTGTGCTAATAAAACTCAGTTAATAGCATTCCACACAACTTAACAAAGGCTTTAAAAATGCCCCTCATTTTAGATTATATAACCCAGACTGATGAGCATTCACACCTGTTGTCCTTTACTACAGTGTGCTGGGTCACTTTGAGAAGCCCCTCTTCCTGGAGCTGTGTAAACACATGGTGTTCGTGCAGTTTCAACAAGGGGAGTACGTCTTCAGGCCGGGCCAGCCTGACAGCAGCATCTACGTGGTTCAGGATGGAAAACTAGAACTGTGCCTTACTGGAACGGTATGCATGCCCATGTATAATGATTACCTGTGAATTCCATGCATGCAACAGTTGTTTTGGTGTTTGAGAATCATTTGGTCTAATGTCTAAAAACCTAAAACAAATATTCTAAGGGGCTTAACCATGAGAGTTCTGGCTTTAACAAGGCATTAGCATCTATTAACATTTGACTCATAATCTTATTAGGCAACAAGGGGATTATGGCTGTTAGCAAAGGTTGCCCTCTTAAGGACAAATGTGTATCTACAGCCAGTCTCAATAGAGTCTATATCAACTATACACACCGAGATGCATGTGTTATTCCTGTCTTCCAGGATGGCAAAGAAAGTGTTGTGAAGGAGGTTTACCCAGGCGACAGTGTCCACAGCCTCCTCAGCATCCTGGATGTCATCACAGTAGGTCATAACCACTTCTTGCCACCACCTCCCCCATCAGAGCTTCATAAAATGTGAACATTTTCTTTGGGATCTTTGTGTCCAGGGCCACCAGAAGCCTTATAGAACGGTGTCGGCACGGGCTGCGGAGGTTTCCACTGTTCTCCGTTTACCTGTAGAAGCCTTCCTCTCTATATTTGAGAAGTACCCTGAGAGCCTGGTGCGGGTAGTGCAGGTGAGAGTTGTGTCCATTGCGTGTGTTGAATGTATATGTATTGTACTTTTGGCCAGAAATGAATATGTGCTCATAAAACTGAAGTGGTTTTGAAAAAGTCATCTGTCAATTTGCACGTGACATATCAAATGATTCACTTCCTGTATCTGTTCAGATTATCATGGTTCGTCTCCAAAGAGTAACGGTCCTAGCCCTGCACAACTATCTGGGGCTCACCAATGAGCTCTTCAGCCATGTGAGTTGGTCACAGACGCACGCACGCACGCACGCACGCACGCACGCACGCACGCAGGTGACACAGTACACCACAGTCCCATGCAAACATAGGTGGGTGATGTGGTTTGGCATTTATCAGGAGTTTTGCATCATTAGCTCAGCACACATACTGTTTTTATTATGATTTCAGGCACTAAATGCTGATGTTGTGTGTCTCTTTCCATTCTCCCCCATCTCGTACGCACGCACACACACACGCGCGCGCGCGCGCGCGCACACACACACACACACACACACAAATGAACACATACATCATATCACATCCCGCTCGCACTTATCCAACAGGAAATGCAGCCCTCGCGTCTGCCACCTCCGTCTCCCCACCCGACTCGCACCAGTCCCATCCGTCACGGCAAGCGCTTTGGCAGCCTGACAGTGTCTGAGGAGCACCGGGAAGCTGCCATTAAGGGTGAAGCTACAGGTGGGGTTGAAAAAACTAGAACGACTGTAATAGGATGATAAAATGTTTTTTGTAAATTATTAACTCAAAGTCCCTCTGAGATGTTGAGAAAATTAATCTTAATTATAAACTTATTGGTTTCCGTTAAAGCTTAAATATATAAATATCTTGACTTTCCATTTCACTCCAGTGTTTGGTTGCTTCTTAAATTCTGCACCTGTGGTTTGCTGTGTGTACAGGAGGGGAACAAGGGAAGGATGGAACAGTACCAACTCTTAGCAGGACAATCTCCATGCCTGTGGACATTGCTTGTGAGGAACTTCACTCTTGTTCAGAGAGATAATGTTTTTATTGATGTACTTTAGTTTTACCAAATAACAGGTAACATGTTTTAGCTGTATGATGGGCTATTTTAAGAAAGTACTTTCGTAGAAACATTGATATGCCTGACCATACCTATCTGCAATACACTACTTGTACCTTGTCTTTGGGCATGTTCCCACCATATATATTGAAAGCATTGCAGCTGCTTTCAATAAGCAGTCATATTGAAAGCATTTGATTTGTTTTGAGCTCCTCTGCATCCAAAATCTCTGTCTGTATATTACATTATGATAAATGTTGGATGCCTGCATTTTTGGTAGTGCAACAAAGTTAACCTCCCTGCTCTGGTTTATACTTAAATAAAAATCCCAATCATACAAAAAAAACATTTTGTACTCATCCTCACAGCTTTCAGATGGACACCTGAGTGTCCAACATGTCCACCAGAAATACTGCTGAAAAATTATAGCTTGGTGACCATTTTTGAAAACATCTTGTTTGGTCTATTAAGCTATTCATTTGTTTCTTTTCAAACACAATCATTTGTCTGTGCAGGTATGCAGAAGAGTCTGAGATCAGACTTTGACATGGCATATGAAAGGGGACGGATCTCTGTTTCTGCAGAGGACGGCAACACGCCTCCTATTTTCACTCGGGTCAGTGCACTGCAGATTCTTTAGACACATGAGATGAGGCTTACTTAACTGATTGCATTACATAAAATTGGATAAGTGTTTGAGAACAAAGTTTGCCACAGGACATAAATAACAAAGTCATTCAGCATATAAAGTAGCCCAATCTAATAATGTTATGTTATGTGTGATATTAAAATATTGGCTCTGGAATTGTCTCTGTAAATGTGATGTTTATTGTTCAGTATGTCAAAAACACAGATACGTATATAATATTATCTGACACTGTAAGATGTCATTGTATGAGTTTTTTTGTAGGGGCAGATCTACAATTTTTAACAGGAGGGAGATTTTAGATTTTATATCAAACATTTTCTTGTATGTGTACCGTTACAGTCTGTATCGCAGGACCAGCGGGAGAGGAGGGTGACAGTAGAGGAGGTTCCCTCAGGGATCTATCTGTATCCAGAGGAAGAGTCAGGAGTGGACAATATGTTTACACCTGTATCCTGTCGATCTAGCACTGCTCTGTTTGAGGAAGCTCAGAAAGAGATCCTCAAACTCATGAAGATTGAGGTTTGTTTGATTATTTTATTTGTTTGTTTACTAATGGTGTGTCTTGATGTTATTATGTAGTGATATCACATGGCATCTAGGATGCAACAGACATTATTGAGAAAAATCTTCATATGCAGTTTTACACAACCTGAAGTGTAATTGTTATCAAACCCATAGGGACTAAACAGAAGGACTTGCCAAAATCAAACTCAAACACATTATAGAACTTCCTAGTAAAAAATCTTCCTTTTGTATTTCTGATCAATAATGTCTGTGTAAAGAACAGAACACGTTCATCACACTGGCAGCAAAACCCAGAGTATCAGAATTAAGAGGGGCAGATTTCAGCCCAAGACTAAATTTGGTAGGAAGATGGGTACATGTGCTTTGATGCAATAAGTAGTAAACCCTCTTTGTGTGCTTTGTACTAGGCATTGTTACACTAAAAAGAAATATGTAGGTGTAAATAGATCAAAGTGTGATGGATGAAATTAATGATGTAGAAGGGTCTGTAGCTTTGGATTTTCATTTAAGTTCATGGTGAACAAATTAGATACATTACATTTGGTCCACATTGTTTATCCACTTTTGCTCAGTCCTTTATCACTGCTTTATTTGACTTTTGGAGTATTTTTCTGTTTTTCTTCTTAAATCTAGGACCCATCCTTGTTAAACGGGAGAGTGACTCTGCACCATGCAAAAGCTGGAGCCGTCTTAGCCAAACAAGGAGACCAGGTACTTAACACAAGACATACTGGACCCCTTTTTTGACAACATATAATGGACTAATCTGTCTCTGTTTAGCTATATTAATAGTTTAGTAATAGTAGCAAGTACAGTAATCAACTATAGTAAATATAGCAACTGTAATTTTGTAATCTAAAATTTTAATATTGTATTGTGTAGGATAAAACAGCAAAGTTATTTTTATCATCGCCTTTTTCTCTTATGTCTTCCTCTTTTTTTACTCTTTTAGGACGTGAGTCTGCACTTTGTCCTGTCTGGCTGTCTCCATGTCTACCAGCGGATGATTAACAAGCAGGAAGACGTCTGCTTGTTTGTGACCCACCCAGGGGAGATGGTGGGCCAACTCGCTGTGCTCACCGGAGAGCCCCTCATCTTCACCATCAAAGCCAACCGAGACTGTACTTACCTCAAGATCTCAAAGTCAGATTTCTATGAGTGAGTTGGTCGCCTTTTAATGTGGATAAATGGGAATGACGAGTATTCGTGACAGTTTATTTTACAGTCCACTTTCAGCAGGCACACAACAGAGTTTAATATCATTGATGTGCTCTCAAGCAACAATGCCCTCTGATAAGTCCTGCAGTGCAATTACACATTAATTCAAAGTCTCTACAGACTGATTGGTCTTCCATGATTGCTAGAACCATACCGTTTTTCTATGAAACATGTGCTTAAAAAACAATATAAATACTGTATAGCTCAGTCTCGCTCATGTCTTCACCTGTGCTGTATGCTGCCCCCTGCAGAATCATGAGGGAGCAGCCCAGTGTGGTGCTGAGTGCGGCTCACACGGTGGCCATACGCATGTCGGCTTTTGTCAGGCAGATGGACTTTGCCATTGACTGGATGGCTGTTGAGGCCGGCAGAGCCCTCTACAGGTAGTCTACTTGAGTGTTTTCTTGACACAGACAAATAATAGCTTCTTCCTGCACACTGTACACTTTGGTTTAACATCTCATTGTCTATTGTATTCATTTACAGTTTATTTGTACTAGTTATTGTGATTTATTAGGGCTATCCCTGACTAAGGATTTGCATAGTCAAATCCGAATTGTCTTGTCTTGGCTATAGTCGACTGATCCTCGAATCATATGTGTGTATGTGTGGCGGCCATTGCGCGGGGGGGGTTTACACATGGTAGTTCCGCTTTAATCTTGAGAATCTGCAGAGCTGCAGTCTCTATTTATTAGTCAGTGTAACTACACTGTACATTTCCAGCTAAACTGAGGCTTATTGTTGACCATTTTCTCTCTGCTCGCCTGCCATTCACCGGTCTTATGCCGAGTTTTGCATGCATGCCGTGTGGCTCATCGCATGCACATCGCGCTTCCTCGTGGGTCTATTCCAAGTAAGATACTATTTAAAAACAATGTAATATTCTTTGTGTGGTTCATCAATGGTGATAAAAGATCAGAACGTCCCGCGAGGTGCGGACAACTCGGTACAACACCAGTGAAGCTGGGGCTGTGTCTCTTTAGCAAGTGTTTCTCTTCTGCCACTACACATACACATAATGCCTACACATGCGCACTGAACCCCCTTCATTAAGGGTTAGGGTTACAATTTTGGATTTATTCACGTACTTTAAAAACATTTGTTAAAAGCTTCTTTCTTTTCACATTTCTATTTACAGCATTATATGTTGAAATGTATATTGTAATAGGCAGTATATTAACTTATTGGGAGAAAACTGGTAGTTCTATTTAAAATCAGACATTGAGCACCCCCATATCCCTAAAATGGTAAGATCCTCTTTTCATAACGCCGCTGCGAAGCTCCGACTGTGAGATTGACAGTCGAATCAGGCTCTGCCCATCGAAGCATTGAATCTTCGACTATTGGGGGTCAGCCCTATGATATATCTGTGTTTTCTTTTCTCTTTACATCTACAGACAGGACGACCAGTCAGACTGCACCTACATTGTTCTGAATGGACGTCTGCGTTCAGTCATCCGCAAGACAAATGGCAAGAAAGAACTAGTTGGGGAATATGGCAGAGGAGACCTCATCGGAGTGGTGAGAATAAGGCTCTTTTCCTGTCAGTCGCATTCTGCCTGTGCGTAATGGAAACTTCAGCTTTAAAAATTAAAAATGGAGCTGAAAATGAGAATGCAACGAGGAGCTGCTATTGTGAGTAATTGCTTGTAATGCAGTATGGGTGGATTTCAGAGTAATTTTGATAAGATGTCTTTTCTACTGTTATGACCCCCACCAAAGCTTGTTACAATGGAGGTCGAACATAATCAAAGAGTCCAGGAGTTATACAAAAAAACATAAGTTTATTGAAATAAGCATGAAATAAGTTCAAAATTTTATTCAAACAAAACAAATCTGATGCGCTGGCCAAAACAAACAAAAGAAAGGGAAGCCCTCCAGACCAGCCCACGAAGGGGATCTGGAGGCTTCCCCTCTACCCTAAACCAATCCCTATCTAAACAAACAGAAATAAAGCTGCGGAAACTAAACTACCAGTTCCATCAGAAATATAAGAAAAGAACAATAATCAAAAGAATACAAATCAGTCGCAATCTCTGTGGTCTGCTCCTGCCATGGCTGGAAGGTGGACAAGAGAGAGTCAAGTGCCCAGCCCCCTCTTATGAGTTTCTCCCCTCGTCACCCGGACCTAAAACACCTGAGGGAAAAACCAGACACGAGTCACCATCATCTAGAGTTGTACATCATGACCAGCAGGGGGGGGGGAAGAATGTAACAGGGATAATGTAACATCTACTAGATGAGTAGTTGGAGCAGACATTTACTGGATACTTTGACTCAGTCATCTTGCAGGAAATATTAATCAGTTTATTTATCATTATTATTACCATCCTGGTATAATTTGTTTTCTTAGTTCTATAACATCTCATGGTCTTGCCTTATACTTTAGGTGGAGGCCTTGACCAAACAGCCAAGAGCCACCACCGTCCACGCTGTGAGAGACACAGAGCTGGTCAAACTGCCAGAGGGAACACTCAACAACATCAAGAGACGATATCCCCAGGTCAGTGACTTCGTCTTGATCTGGTTGTGTGTGTAAATCTAAAAATAGTACTGATGCTCAATGTCTGTTTTAGGTGGTGACAAGGTTGATCCACTTGTTAGGCCAGAAGATTCTGGGGAACCTTCAGCAGGGTCGAGGGCCATTCTCAGGTAAAGTGATGACAAGGCGCATTTTAGTTACACATAAACACACTCCCTCCTTATGTCTTTTAGTCCAGCCTTATGCATTTAAAGCACAGCATTCTCCATTTACACACTGTGATCCTGTCTTCCAGGTTCAGCCCTGAGTCTACCCAGTATGACAACCAGTGCCGATGTCACCAACCCCGCCAGCAACCTCTCCACTGTGGCTGTCCTGCCTGTGTGTGATGAGGTGCCAATTAATGCATTCAACCTGGAGCTGAGTCATGCCCTCAGTGCCATTGGTAGGCCCACACATTTTTAATGGATCTGGGATTGCTGAATTTCTGTTTAGTTCCCGGTTATACAGGGAAGTGTACATTACTGCATGACATGGTATTATGTCAATTAGTATCATGTAATGCAGTATGTTAAAGTTAAAATAGAATACACATTTGGACGTCTGACGTCCTGTTCTGTGTTTGCATTCATACATTTTACACTGCCTCTGTTCGACAATTGCAGGGCCCACTCTGCTATTAACCAGTGAAATAATCAGAGAGCGACTGGGTGCTTCTGCATTGGACAGGTCAGTTTGACGATCAGAAAAACATCTCAACTCTTAGTCCAACAGTTTTCCAACTGCCACCTTTTTTCATTATCTCCCACACTCTTTCTTTTCCCATTTAAGTTTGTCATTATTGATAGCTATCATTTCCACTCACTGTATTTCCCAATTATTTTTTTCCTGTCATCAGCCATTTCTATGTGCCATCTGTTTTGGTGAATTCAAACGCTGTTTCACATCCTCATCCCTGCTTTTCTCCTGTATCCATCAGTATCCACGAGTACCGTCTCTCCGGCTGGCTGGCCCAGCAGGAGGACATCAATCGGATTGTCCTGTATCAGACTGACAACAGTATGACCCCCTGGACTCAGCGCTGCATCCGCCAGGCGGATTGCATCCTGATCGTCGGCCTGGGCGACCAGGAACCAACCCTGGGAGAGGTATGTGTGTAAAATTTCAAATGTAAATAAGTACATTTACTCGGTCTTTTTTAAAGTTTTGTTTCTCTCCTCTTCTCTTCCCCTCCAGTTGGAGCAGATGCTGGAGAACACAGCAGTCCGGGCTCTGAAGCAGCTGATCCTTCTGCACAAAGAGGATGGGCCGGGCCCCTCCAGGACGGTCGAGTGGCTCAATATGCGTAGCTGGTGCTCAGGGCATCTGCACCTCAAGTGTCCCCGCAGGGTCTTCTCCAGACGCAGCCCCAGCAAACTAGTATGTATATACTGCATTATGGTGTGCTGTACTGGCTAGAATCAGGTGACTTAGTGATCACTCTTTCTTTACTGTAATCTAAGAGCACTGTTATGAAATGATAGTCTTGTCATCAATGGGGCTTCAACATGGAAAATGTGCAAAAATACTGTTCTTATGTTGTTGAATGTTAATGTGATGTTGATGCTTTCACTGCATTTTCATGGGTATTTTTTGTATTTGTGCAGAGGGAGGTATATGAAAAGGTGTTTGAGAAAACGGCAGACAGGCACAGTGATTTCTCTCGGCTGGCCCGAGTCCTGACCGGAAACAGCATTGCCCTGGTGCTGGGAGGGGGTGGAGCCAGGTGAGCAGGGCTGTCCAAAGACGGCTGAGCCACAACTATCAGATGTGTAGAGAGGAGCTTGTGTCTTACAAGTCTTAGTGTTTTGTAGCAATAACAATGCAGACCACCCAGCCCTTAAATCCCCTTCATTTTACCAATACGTAAGGAAGTGCAGGGAAGGATTTTGTAATGTCAAAATACACCTGTTTTATCACCCAAAAAACGTTTTCTGCCGTTTGAAACTTGATTGATTCTTTTTTTGACCAAACTAGATTCGGATGATGAAAATGTGCTCTTTTTTTTTTTTACCACTCAGCTCAGTTGTCAAACATGTTTGTTTTCTTCCATGCAGAGGCTGCTCTCATGTGGGTGTGATCAAAGCTATGGAGGAAGCGGGGATTCCTATTGACATAGTTGGAGGGACCTCGATTGGCTCATTCATTGGTGCACTGTATGCTGAGGAGAGGAGTGCTGTCAGAACCAAACAGAGAGCCAGAGAGTGGTCCAAGGTACAGCACACATCTATATATCCATTATTCAGTCATTTCTGTCTTGCTCATATGTCTAAAAGGATTTTTCTTTTATGAAAAAGGTTTAATTTACCCTACAGCCTGAAAGTCAACATATTAAAATAATATAAAGGGGAATACCTCAATTCTTGCTTACAGTTTAGCAAGTCTGATTTCTCTGTATTTTGTTGTTCAACAGGCAATGAACTCTGTATTTAAAACAGTCCTAGACCTGACCTATCCCATCACCTCCATGTTCTCTGGTTCTGCCTTCAACACCAGCATCTATAAAGTGTTCCAGGACAAGCAAGCTGAGGTGAGCGATTGCAGTATTAAATAATTTTCCAAGTTCAGAGAGAATTTATTTGCCACTGCAGTAAGGTCCACTAGAACACAAGAAGGTCATGATTGTGAATCAGTCAATGGGAAAATGAAAATTAGATTTATGACACTGAAATACTTTCTGTGTCTCCAGGACTTGTGGCTGCCATACTTCAATGTCACCACTGACATCACGGCCTCAGCCATGCGCGTTCACCAGGATGGTAAGTGACAGCTGGGCTGACAGCAGGGGTCGCCAACTCCTCTTTTCATAGTCATATTAATGTTGTGACTGGCTAAATGTTTTTTGAAGCTTTAGAGAGTCAAGATATTAATTTTGTTCATTACAGTACTTTAATTACTTTTTAGTACAGTGCATTATTTGATAGCTGTAGATGAGGCACACATATGCAAACACAGACATACACATACATGTATTTTATTATTCACTTTTGTCTTCCTCACTATGAAGTACTTTGTACTTTGTTTTGATAAGTGCTCTATAAATAAAGTTCATTATCACACTATTTTATAGACATACACAATGAAGGGTATAATTGCTTAAAGCTGGGGTAGGCAATTTATTTCAGAAGCATTCTTTGTAATATTTGTTGAAATTCTCTTTACATCCTGACAGCAATCAATAAATCAAATGCTCTGACACATAAATGAAAAAGAATTGGCGCCTGTGGCTGTCGCAGGCCTACCTGCGTGCACTTTGCTCGTGCACTCACTGCGCATGTACATGTGTTTTGGAGGAGTGGCTTTGGAGGGAGGCCTGAAAGGAGGGGGGGGGGGGTTGATTTGTTTATTTTTTTTGTACACAATTGTACACTTTTAAAATCTAGTTGTCTCTTGCTAGTTTCTCCAGTGTTGCCTACCCCAGCTTCAAGTCTTTCCCAACATTTAACACAACTCAATCACTACTACTGCCCTGAATGAGAGCGATCTAATGTGTGAAATTGGCATTGTCATCAATTCATGTGTCATGAGTGAGTAATGCTTCCATCCACTAGTTTTCAGAAGTGTCTTCATTTACTTTTTCTTTTTTTATCCTTTATACAACAGGTCAATATATATTGTATTAGTAGGCACAACTTGGGGGGATATAGAAAATTGAACTTGCTTATGCATCATCTAGAGTGACTGGACAGCATGCCCTCCAAACTAAATTGAATGTTACGGTATGTTTTCAAATGGTTTTTCATAACAACACTTAGAGCAAATGCCAATATAGTTACTACAACTCTAGGTGTGTTTGTTTTAATAGTGTCCATGACAGCTGAAGGACCTTGCGAATCTTGCTGGAAGTAGACACGATTTAGTTCATCACAACAAGAAGTAAAATAGTAAAATCTAAAGGACATAATAAAACATGAGGCTCAGAAGTTTGTATAAAGGTCGTTTACATCACATTATGGATGAATTGCAAGCAAGAGTATTTTAAGGCAGTGGTGACGGTTATGTTTGTGGGTCAGCCTGCATACTATATCAAAGCCAAAAAGAATTGCTTTATTTTAGTCGCCTCCAGAAACATGCCAGTTTCAGTCTCGTTTGGAGTAAGGCTTGGAAGGTGATTTCATTAAATATGTACAAAAGAAAACACCAAGGAGATGTTTCTATACTTATGCTTGTATTTGCTGATAAAGGCAAATTTGTTCTGTTTGACTTAAAAAATGCACCATCACTAACATTAGTTAAAGTAGATCTAGCCTGAAAGGACAACCCCACCAACCCCCAAATCCAATGTGCTCTTTAGCATAATCAATGCTATGCTACCTTGTAATTTACAGTATTGTACATCAAGTTAAGGCATTGGTAGTTTATTGTAAATGCAATGTTTTGAATTATAATTAAATATAATTCAGTCTGATTACTGAACTTGAGGGGGTTGAGTCCTGCAAGGCAACACTGAATGCGTATGTTTGCATTTTGGCATGTGTATGAACTAACTGCTGGAGCAAAGCCTTTTCCCCTCTCTGTCTCATTGATCCCATCATCTGCCTCTCTTACATTACTACACTAGTTTCTTCCCTCTTCTTTCTGTCTTTCATTAATTTTTCCAATTTTTTTTACTATCTTTCTGACTGTTTCTATATCTCGATTTTCTTTGATGGAGAGGCGTAAGGAGAGGTGTGTGTGTGTGTGTGTGTGTGTGTGTGTGTGTGTGTATATATATATATATATATATATATATATATATATATATATAATCCTTTATACTCCTATCTAAGTATAAATAAATAAATAAAATCCCTTACCCTTACGTCCATCTCTTTCTGCACATAGAGAGACTTCACAGAGCTTCCTATCTATAGGTTATGCACATACACAAAATAACCTGTGTAGTCGCTGACCCCAAAATGCTGATTCGTAGGATCCAGAACCCACCCTGCTGTTCCGTCCTCACTTCCATGTTGCTTTTCTCACTTTTTTACCTCCATTTTGTGCTTTCTGTAGTTTTTCTGGTGTACTTTTGTCAAACATTGCTAGGGTGGTGCCATTCTGAAAATGTCATCAGCAATTGAGAAAAAATTGAGTAATTGTACTCTATTTTGATGGTGGTAAGGTACACAGTGAGATGGGTTTGCATTACATCGTTTGGTTTTATCCAGTGGGGAAAAAAACTGGCAAGAATGAGATCTGTGTAAAATCTTTACTGTAAAACCACTTGCTTTGCAGTTTTCTCTGCATTCTTTATTTCAAAATTTAGTTTAATGCCCAATAGCACTCCTTGAAATGGTGGTCTCTCTCTCTCTCTCTCTCTCTCTCTCTCTCTCTCTCTCTCCCCCCTTCTTTATCCTTCTCAGTGTTTCTGTGTGTCTCTTTCTGCCCCTGCTTGTCGTCCTCCCACCTTGCTTGTCAGACCAGTCATCTAACAACACTAATACTATTTTTTTAATATGCTGAATGAACACACCAAACAATCTTTCCATCACTATTTTTAGGTTGTTAAGCTAATTTTCATACATCTTGTGTCATTCTTCCAACATATTTGTTGTCATTTATATCACAGACTTGTTTTACTTAGCCTAAATTGTGTTGTTTCTAGCAGTCACAAAATGTTATATTGTTTTAATGTTATATATTTTGGTATCTTATCATTCTGAACAAAGTCTATTAAACATTCTTGATTAGCCTTCAAATAGGTTTATTCAATTGGCTGTAGAGTTGTCCTAGAGTCTGCTTTTATTCGAAATTGGCATCATGTTAGAATTTACTGCATTTGGGTAGAAACCGTAGGCATGAGTAAATCATTTTGTTGCCATTGTATTTCCCCTCCTCTCTGGTAGCATCTTGCACTCTTCTTCTCTATGTTGCAGGCATCTCTCTCTCTGTACTCTCTCCATCTTTCTCTCTTTCTTTTTACATCTGTAATGTGGAGTCCGGCCCATATTTGATGTGTTCCTCCTTCTCCATCTCCATTACCCGACAGGTTGCGTCTGGCGCTATGTTAGAGCCAGCGCGTCCTACACCCCCTATTTACCTCCCCTGTGCGACCCCAAGGATGGCCACTTGCTTGTGGATGGTTGCTATGTTAACAATGTCCCAGGTCAGATTTTAAACACCCGCTCGCCAAACCCCCCCCCCCCCATCCTTAAGTTGACAATCGAACTTGGCTCCCCTCCTCCTCTTTCTCGTCCTCTCCCTCCCAAGTTCTCATTTGTAACTAACTCCACACTGACCAGGTGGACATTGGGAGCCCATGGTTTGGAAGGAAAGACTAAATCCACTACATGTCTTGGGATTGATCCAATCAGTGCCTCATCTTTCACTGTATAACGGCCAACAGTACATATCATGCTCTGTAATTGTTTTTTGTTTCACACAACACACTTTTTCCATTTGGCTTGAGTCCACCTCTGAATATATCTTACTTTTGTATGAGATGTGAGGTTTTGCCCACGCATGTCTGGACATCTATGTGTCATAGAGTGATGCATGATGGTCTGGCTTCTTCAGGCCCCCTACATTTGCTAAAATGTTCCAATCACCTTTTATTTATATATATATATATTATAACATTCTGGATGTGGCTTGTAAATACTGATGCCTTCATGCACCTCTCTACTTACTTATTTTTAAACTTTAAAATTCAGTTACTAACTTGGCCGACGTTAATCAAATTTGATTGGCTTGGATTTAGTTGGATTTTCAGTTTGAGATCTAGTATAGAGACCAGACGTTACTGTGTGTTTAAAGGAAAGCTGATAGTGTCGAAGATGTCACTCCTGCCTTACTGGAGATACTGAAGGGCCGCACCATGTCAACATTGCATCTGTCAGTTGTTGGTGCGGATCATTGTGCGTGTCAGTGGGCCTAAATGTGCGTGTCCTTTGGACTGATCTGCAGCTTGTTTCCCTGTGAGGTCCCTGTGAAATTGATTCTGTTTCATTGCAATCACCTCTACCTACAGGAACATATTCGGTCTCTCCTACACCTGTCCTTTCCCCTGGCTTTGCTTGCTTCTATGTGCATGCCAGTCTTAGGCACTGAGCCAATGTATATATTTCTCATGCATATTTTATATATATATATATATATATATATATATATATATATATATAAACACGTTTTTTGGGGAGGTGGGGGGTGGGATATATGTTCTGGATCCTACTGTTGCCCATTAGAGCGACTGTACAAACTGAATAAAGCCCTTACATTACATTAAAATTTGGAAAGCTGTAGGTGGTAGTAATCCCTCTAAAGCCATATTTCAGTAAGATAATTATGCCTCAGCATTCACATACGTATACTCCACACAGAGTTGCACCCCTCGCTTTTCTCTGTGGTGCTCCTTATCCTTCCAACCCATGCAGCGCCTGGCCTGCTCCTGCCCCCTGCTGGCATTGAACTGGACTGCAAGACTGGGCAGGCTGGGTGCTTCCCTGCCATGTTCACGGTGAAGGATCTCCAAACATTGTCACTACATCTGCCGCTGCTCCTTCTCTAACATGTAGATAATTAAAGTAGGTCCATTACGATATATTTTCATTACTTCTTCTCCTCGGGTAATCGTGATTGATTTTGGCTTAAATATACAAGATCTGTGGATTTTGCAGGACCAAATTCAGATGGTCACATGCTATAAGTTGCTGTTGTTGGGACACCGTTTGGAGATTCAAACAGCCTTGGTGCTCTGTGATGGTTGCCATTTACTTTTTTACCTTTCACACAAGTCACACAGGGTCTTTGTGCAAGGTAATGAGGTTTGCAGTGGTGTACAGCAGAGTCTAAAGGTGGGCAGAACCACAGTCCTAGCCTTTGCAGGGATCGGCTAACTTCCTTTGCCTGACCTCCCTCTGGTGTTTGGACTGTGGTCTGTGTCGACACTAACCTGAAACGTATAGCAAACATTATTGAGATGTTATCCCCCCTTCCTCCTCCCTCCTTCCCTCCCTGGTGTGTCAGGCTCTCTGTGGCGTTATGTGCGAGCGAGCATGACCCTCTCGGGGTATCTGCCGCCTCTCTGCGACCCCAAAGATGGCAACTTGCTAATGGACGGTGGCTACATCAACAATCTGCCAGGCAAGTAGAGGTGGTTCTCCTCCACCCCTCCCCCCATCCAACACACAATCCTCAGTGATCAAACTCCTGTCCCCCAGAGGAGGGGGGAGGTGGAGTGAGGGACGGGATCATTATTATGAGGGGTTTTAATCAAGTTATTTATAGGCTGGGTAAGTATATAGACGTGGGCTTTTCTTAATGCTGATGGAGGGAAGTCAGGTGGTAGTGGAGGAGTGTGCTGACTTTTCCCCATCTGAATATTGAGCCAGTTCAGACCATCAATTCAAACTAATTAAAAGTAAATGATAAAAAATGAGTAACCTCAGTGAGGAAACAATCTCTATCAGACCCTTAAATATTCTGTATTACTAGATGGGGGGAAAGTCAGCATTTTGAGTTATATTGAGATTTAATTCAAGTGTATATGATGACAAGGTTTTAATTAAACTAAGAAATATGACATTGAATTGGGGAACATAGTATTTGTCTATCAAACAGCCTGGTGTCAGAAAAGTGTTCAACTTAAAATGGGGAATCACTAGTATCCTGAAAAAAAATATTGAAGTTTCTGACGTTTAAACTATAATGTGATTTCTTTTTTTTTATGTCAGAAGACACCAGTCTGATTTGATATTATTAAAGTCTGGTTCCCCTCGTGATAATGAGCACTTTTCTGTAGGGCTGGGCAAAAATTCACTATTATCGTTTATTGACTTTAATACCGTGGTGATATGGTCATATCATGTTATCATTCTGTTTTCCAAATTAATATCTCCAAGCAATTGTATTTTAAAACTAGCAGAGTTTGTTTTCCACGTTTTACACCTATGAGGAGTTTGGCCTCACCTAACTCATAACTGATATGGGAAAATATCCTTCTTAATATTGTGATAATGATTTCAACCATATCACCCAGCCCTTTGTCTTTTGTTCATGTTACTGAAGCTTCAGTATTTGCTTCCATTTCAACCAGAGAAAAAATTAGTGGAGTCTGTTTGAGTAGATGGGAGGAGATGTTTTTTTGTCTGCGCACCATTTCAATACATCTTCATTACCTGAAAGCATTTTAGAAACACATCGAACCAAATGTACACATTCCTGTAATGTTTACAGAATACATAAACTGTCATTAGCTTTCATAATGGTGCACAGATGAAAACTCTGCTGAGTCTGTCTGTTCAGCTATGATAAAGCATGTACTCTGTACTGATGAAGCACAGCCATAATTCACAAAGCTCTGGAATGAGCTGTTGTAATTCTTGGTACAGGAATCATGTCTCATTATCTCCCAAGCGACACTCATTCTAGAGGTTTGTGAAATATAGTGCTTTCTGGGCCCAAAGGTTGATCCAACTGAAGGGAGCCTTATAAAATCAGCATCCCTTATTCCTGACCTTTGCTATTCTGCCTTCTCCCTGAAGTGTTTGTGCTCCATCAGTTGTATTTATAGTTGTTCTTGGCACACTGGATCAGTGCTTTGGGCTTGTCTTCCTGTTTCTGTCTTTGAATGGGCCCAACACCACAAAAATGTTCACTGCCCCAACGCTCTTTTTAACACTAACAAGTCAGTGAGAAAGGTCATGACCTCAGGCCCTGTGCTCATTGGCTAGGAAAGCATACATTTCTCTATTATTTTTATTTTTATTGCAGTGTTTCTGTCACTAATTGGCCATAAATGCTCTAGAGTGTTTCTGACAACTTTTTAAAAAATTATGTTTTTGTGGTGCAAGTCTGTTTGAACATACTGGCTCCTAATAAAGGTTTAAGGAAACAGATATTATCCTGAAACAAGCTTAATAACACAGGATTCATTGTCTTACATCTCTGCTGCTGGATTTTGTCATGCTGTGCTCGTGCGGCTGTGTGCGTGTGTGTGAATGCTGGTGTACACGTTCCACGTCCAACAGCGGACATTGCAAGGAACATGGGTGCCAGAACAGTCATTGCCATTGACGTGGGTAGCCAAGACGAGACCGACCTCTGTAACTATGGCGACTGCCTGTCTGGCTGGTGGCTGCTGTGGAAACGGATCAATCCCTGGGCAGAGAAAGTAAAGGTACATGACGGGTTGGCAGCACAAGGCATTTGTAACTATTACTGACTCATCATCTTAAAATATCGAATACTTTATGCAAGTTTCCAGTCAGTATGTAGCAGGGATGATTTAGCTTCTGAGTCTGCAGATCGAGAAATATTAAATTCTAGTAGCATCCCCACATCTGCTTCTTCCGCAGGTGCCAGACATGGCAGAGATCCAGTCTCGGTTGGCCTATGTGTCTTGTGTGCGGCAATTAGAGCTGGTGAAGAAGAGTGCATACTGCGAGTACATCAGACCACCCATCGACCGCTTCAAGACCATGGACTTTGGCAAGTTCGACGAAATCTATGTGAGTCACTTCATGATCATTGCTCATTTTTATGATTTTACTTGTAATGTTTGCATTTGGAAACAAGTTAATTGTGATACCGTGATTTATTTACAGCAAGCAAATAAGAGCACAGTCAATACTGCCTCACTGTCATACTAGTTATGTTAATCGTGGTTAGTGTTGAACCCATTGCTTCGTTCTACAAAGAAGATTTTGCTTCTCTGGCATCACTCCATGTGCGTTTGTTTTAAAGGCTACAGCCATGACAGACTTTAGCACTATATATCTCTGGCAAATAAAGGCAGGATCGTCTGCCCAAAAACTTTACTCAGCTAAATCCAACTTGCAAAGTGATGCATTGGCCAATCACATACATGCAAGCGCACGTTCATGATATATTATTTTTTAATGTCAACACATACTTCTACTGTCATCGAGATCATCGAGACTGAAACTACCTGTCTTGCATCTTTTAACACAGTGCTGTTTAAGGTGTGAATGTCTGGTAAGAAGAAGAGGGAATATGCATTAACTCTTTCCACCTTCAACTTTAGCTGCAGAGCAGCTGTGCTCCTGTTGCACTTCCTTTTTCCTGTTCATACAGTCCTTTCCAAAAGTATTGGAACGGTAAGGCAAATTCCTTTCTTTTTGTTGTTCACTGAAGAAATTTGGGTTTAAGATCAAAAGATGAGTATGAGACAAGAGTTCAGAATATCAGCTCTCATTTCGTGGTATTCACATCTAGATGTGTTAAACAACTCAGGACATACCACCCTTTTGTTGAACCCACCCATTGTGAGCAAAGCTATTGGAACATGTGACTGACAGATGTTTCTTGTTGCCCAGGTGTTGCCTTTTAGGTTGATTGTCCAAACATTAAATAGCTCTGCATGACTAGTCTAAGTTTTCATCCTTGGTTCAAACCTATAAAGACTGCATTTACTGTTAAAGAGGATAAACCAACATGAAGACCAGAGAGCTGTCTATGGGAGAAAAGCAAGCCATTGTCAAGCTGAGAAAAGAAGGAAAATCATCCAGAGCCATTGGACAAACATTGGGCGTAGCAAGCACAACAATTAGCAACGTCCTGAAAAAGAAAGAAACTACTGGTGTACTGAGCAACAGACGTCGAACAGGTCGGCCAAGGAAAAGAGCAGTAGTTGATGACAGAAATATCGTGAGAGCTGTGAAGAAAACCCCCAAAACATCAGTAAGTGACATCACCAACGACCTCCACAGAGCAGGGGTGAAGGTATCACAGTGCACTGTTGGAAGAGAGAAGAAATATAGAGGCCACACCACAAGATGCAAACCAGCAGTAAGAATGAGTAATTAAGGCCAGGTTGAAATTTGCAAAGAAGTACAGAGGGAAAAAGTGGAAGGTTTTAGACTGGCCAAGTCAATCACCTGACCTTAACCCAATAGAGCATGCATTACACCTCCTTAAGAGGAGACTGAAGGAGAAACACCCCGAAACAAACAAGAAGTGAAAGAAGCTGTGGTAAAAGCCTGGAATAGCATCACAAATGAAAATGCAACAGTTTGGTGATGTCGATGGGTCACAGGATTGAGGCAGTTATTGCAAGCAAGGGTTATGCCACCAAATATTAAATGTTATTTACTTTAAGATTATTTGTTCCTTGACTTTTGCTCACCTAAGAATGCTGTGGTCTAATATAAACGGTGATATGTCCTAAGTTGTTTAACACATCTAGATGTGAATACCAGGAAATAAAAGCTGAAATTCTGAACTCTTGTCTCATACTCATCTTTTGATGTTAAACCCAAATGTCTTCAGTGAACAACAAAGGAATTTGCCTTACCGTTCCAATACTTTTGGAGGGGACTGTAGAATAATCCAGCTCCTATTCACAAAATCCAACCCAGCAGCACACTTATCTGAAATACAGTTTTGCTGCTGTCTTCCCTCTTGACGATTGTTTTGTTTGCCTGATTTGATGATTACCAAAAAAGACTATCATTATGATTTATCATGATTTATACTGTAAATGTTAAAATGCCACAAGCTTCACATTTTAACATGGATGTCATTTTACCAAATAAACTAAATAAATCAGTTCAGAGTTACAGAGTTTCAAAACATGTCCTCACTTCTACTTACTATATTTAAAGTACCTTGTTTTTCTATTTCAACTACTTCAGGATGTGGGCTTCCAGCACGGCAAGTTGGTGTTTACTGGCTGGGCTCGAGGTGACATTATCCAAAACATGCTGAAGGACCACCGCTCAGCCGACTACAACAACAGCAAGAGAACTGACGTGAGAAGAGCACATACACACACACTCGCATACACACATGCCATAAATCATATGTAATGTACTTGATGTGTAACGACCTACATTTTCACCATCAAAGTAAATAATAATAGTTTCTTGTCTCGTAGTCCTGCACGTGTCCAGCAGCTGACTTCACTGACCTTGCAGAGATTGTATCCAGGATAGAGCCGGTCCAAACCTACGTAGCTGCAGAAGGTGAAGGATCTCCTGCCAATTCATTTTTGTCTTGAAATAATTCCTCAGCTGTGGAACGTAACTAAGTACATATACTCAAGTACTGTACTTGACTTGTCCTTTCTTTTAAGGTTTAAGTCATTGTTTAGCTTCAGAAATGTGAGGATTAGCTGCATTTATTTTTAATTATTTTAATAAATTTTAATCATTTAGAATTTTGTACTACTGGTAGGACTACTGGTACGAGCACTGTAAAGATGTCACTTTGGGCTCTGGGTAATTGTGACACCATTTCTCCCTATTTTTAGAATATTTACAAACCAATCAATCAATTGATTAATAGAGAAAATAATCAGCAGATTAATCCATCAAGATTATAATCATTACTTTCAGTCCGATACAAAATAGTTAACAATGAGCTTCACCTCGACCATCTAATAATCAGTAATATATAATGATATTATATCATATTTCTGCATCAACTACTTTTAGTCCTTCAAAGGTACAATGTGTAAGATTTGGCCAGAATTTTAGTTCATCCAATAAAGCATTCAAAAAATCAACCAACGTTAACAGAATGTGAAGAAATAACAGCTCTTACGTCATGTCCCAGTGATAACGAGAGAGAGGAGTTTGTTGTGTTCACAGAGGAGCTGCTAGCAAGACTTTATTTTCTAACATTAACCCAAAACAACAAACTCCTCTCTCAAACTGTGACTCGTTTCCACCGTTGTCTTCAACTCTCACAAGATTTCAGAGTTGTCCATGAGTGACTTCTGTCACCCGGAGTCACTCGTATGGATCCTTCCCATGATATTGTTAGACACCTGGTATAAGAGTCTGAGCCTGTCGGTGGCCAACAGGAGCACTTTTTGTGGACGTAATTTTGATGGGGCACCGATGATTATGCAGCTGTCGGCTGAAGCCATCTACTGCACTGATTCCAAAACGTTTTAATGGTAATAATGATAACAATACTGGAACGACCTTTTAAGTAAAATATCTGAATGCTTCCTCCTCCAGTGTAATTCCTTTTTATAGTGGTTAACATTTTTTAAACAGCTTAAAAACATTGTGTTTTAAAGTCCTTGTTGCAGCAGACGCTCTAGATGTACAGTTCCCCCTCAGGATTGCGTCAGATTTAATCTGTGTAATAAATAAGGGTTAGCTTTCACCTGGTCTGGAAATACAGTAGCAGATGTCCCTGATATTTTATGGGTGCTATCTAAACCTGGTGGTTCAGTCACACAATAAAATTCTCTCTGTAATATTGCCTCTAAATCTTTCTGTTCAACAGAGGAGTCGGACTGTCTGACAGAGTACGAGGAAGACGGGATGGACACAGTGAGAGAGGAGGAGGGGGAGGAAGAGGAGGAGGACGCAGAGGACCCTGAGGACCACTCCCCTGGAGAGTGGGGCCAGAATGGAGTTTTTCAGACAGTAAGCGCACACAAAAACAGAAAACATGACGTGACCAAACCATATTAAATACAGTTTTTCCTTCTGTGTCATTATAAAATGTAGTTGTCCTATCAGTTACATTCATTCTCTCACAGAGGACCACAGATTCATTTTTAGTGCGATGGCATTCCAATGAGTTTTATCCATTGAACTTCACAGAATTAAAATTTGGGGAACTGGGAGTGCTGGTATCAGACCAGTATAAAAAGAGTTATTACATTTCCATGTAGAATAAAAGAAGAATTGTGAGCAAAAGAGTATAAGTACAAGTTATATCTTTAATATCTTGTGTGCAAAGACATTCTGGCACTTGGGGTGACACTAGAGCAGGGGTTCTCAAATCTGGGGGCGGGCCCCCTGGGGGAGCGAAGTGCCTCTTCAGGGGGGTTGTGGATGTTGAGCGGACCTAAAGTTGCTTTTATTTGTTTCTTGTGGTGACATAAAGTGCTCTGATGCTAGAAGGCTATTTTGATAACCTAAATGATTGATTAAAAATTATTATTATTATTAAATCCACTTTTGCTGGGGTGGGGGGACATAAACCTTTTTTGGCTTCTGAAGGGGGGCGTGACAGAAAAAGCTTGAGCATCACTGCACTAGAGGAACAGAGCTAGAGTTCCTCTAAGCAACCTTTAGCTGCACTGACCAGGTGAAAACGACGCTCTGTTCTACTCTGTAGGATGAGGAGAAATCTGTGAGACAACGCCGGAAACTCACCAGTGACTCCAACACCTCTGAAGTCTCTGACTGCTGACAGAGGGCCACGGAGGAGTAGACGGAGTTTAAACAAGAACAAGGGCCAAATTGCGGGTCCATAAACAGTCAAGGCTAGAGACGTGGACGTCACACTCGGCTCTTGTGAAACTCTGAAATACTGTTTTTGCTTTTCTGGATGAAATCACTGTTCATCCTCTAAATTGTTGAACCTCCTTTGCATCAAGTGGCTTTCTTCTCGCTCCCACTCTGGCTTCATCTGTTCACATTATGACCCACTGTCAAAAATGAAACGGTGTCCCTCATCAGTTTTACCAAACTGACCCATTGCCTGAATCCCTGCCTGCTAACTCCCAAACCTGCCAAAACGAGGGGGACCCAGTAAACAACACAAAACTGTGACACTCTGTGACAAACGGCCAGAAGGACCCCTCCTACATGTCCCGCCTGGGTCTCTGAAGTTGACAGTTACATTGCCCTCCATTATTGACGTTTTGATGTATAAAACGGTCCATTAATTTGTTGTGTGTGCTTGTTCTGATGAGAGTGTGTGTAAATATTGCCTGTGTGTTAGGATGACTATTTGGTACAGATGTACAAAGTTGTGGTTTGTTGAAATAGTACAGGACACTGAGAAGAAAACTAAGAAATACATGCAATAGAGGTGTAGCTAGTGGGAGTTATACAAGTTAAGCGTAGATGTCATGTAGAGAGTCAGGTACGGGAAGCTGTAGGGGGGAATCAAAGGACCAGTGTTAAAAGCAGAATGAGGATGGCTTAAAATCAGGAGACATTTAACAAGAAAGATTTGTTAATGATGGCGTAGAAAGTTTTGAAATGTCGGTTTAAGAAACAAAGTAATGAGATAAATGTGCATGGTCAAGAAAAGAGATGGACCAGTGGGAGTTATTATTTTATTTAAGTGAATTCTCCCTCGATAGAGTAGGATGAGCTTGATGCGCTGTAGGTAAACTAAACTGAACGGAGGATGGAGAGTATATAATGAAAATGAGGGGTGAATGAGATGATGTGTCATCGTGTCTGTGTGTTTCAACCAGTGTTCGATCCCACTCACAGTGACTGAGGTGATTGTGGAGAAGAGAGCGATCATGTACACACTGACTACACTACACAACAAACCAGTGTGAGCCTGCCTCTGCTTGCACGAGGTCAAACATATGGTACTCACGGTTCATGTGTATAGTGGACAATGAGGTGTGTAATTTAGAATACTAGCCAACATATTATTGTCAGGAAAAAAAGTAATTTTGACATGGATGATACGCAGAAACCTTGAGTAATTCTTAACTTCAAATGGGCAGAAATTCACTTGTGTAACTATTAACACTTAATAATATGGACATCTTGTAGAAATTGTAACAAGATTGTATTACACTATACACAATGTTGATATTCATAAATGTATATGAGGTGGAATTTGTAAGTTGATTCTTTGCTGAAAAACAAGGGAACCTACACAAAAAGGGTTTCTCCTCTTAAAATCCATTCTGTTTTATTTATTTGTGTTACCTATGCTTTTAAATTATTTTTTTTTTTTAATATTTGGGGGTGGGGGGGTGTCTTTTTAATTAACTTTGCTTTAGCTGTTTTGCACTGAAATATTTGAAGTATTCCTTGCTCAGAAGATGTTTGGTTTACTAACTGCCATCCACCTTGAGATGCCATGGGAATCTAAAGAATGAAAAAAATGATAATTTAATATGCATATTGAAAATAAAATATGCATCATAGCGTGTGGCCTTTGAGTTTTTTCTTTCTTTTTTCAACTGTTTATGCATGTTATGACCTCTACCATGTTTAAATGGACCAAAGTTTCTGTAAGTCACAAAGTTTGCACAGCTGTAATGTTGAGCATAAACATGTTTGATGAGACGTTCAGATGATCTTAAACAGGCCACTTATGCCAGGATACTGTTTACATCACCACTCATGCATTTTGAAACCTTAAGGCTGAAATTCCTCTTAATGTGAAAACACAAGTTGAAATTCACAATACTGTTAGTGTAACTCAGTGTTTCCCACAGGATTGTAAGAGACTATGGTGGTTAGCCTGGACCCTGACTCGGAAGAGCATTTTGTACATTTTAAGTTAAATGCATTAATTTGGTGCAAAATTAAGAGGCTATCTATGAAGAACTTTGCCTCTTGTAAACAATGTTGTGCTCTAGTAATCTATTTAATCATAAACCTATTGTATAGCTATAATGGGAACAGCAACAAAAGTCAACAAATGTATTTAATGTTTTACCAGCAAATAAATCAAAGAATAGAAAATTAAAAATGTAATTTGCTTAACATTTTATTGTTGGTGTTTTTAAATTTTAATGGACATATGTAATATGTTTTATACTTTCTGTGAATATAATCCAAGTAATCTTTTCCATACTGTACAGACACCTTATTTTGAAAATCAGACATTACGTGTATCCGCGCGCTAAATTCATCAAGTCCGACCCAATTTGATAAATTATGTTGTATGTGGTTCTCCTACCGCCTAAATTGAAGACAGCCTCTCTTCAGGTAGGACTCTCATACGGCAACACAGTATGCATTTACCATGAAGGTTTTAATACGTGTGCACTCCAAATTTAGGTGGGGCTAGCTTAATCACCTTCTCAGAAACGAGTGACAGAAACAGACAGTAAACATTACCGTAATTATCTCTAAAGAAAAGCGGTTGTCTCGTCAGATGCTAAAGTGTGTGAGCGTGCGAGCAGCACCCACAAAACACAACCTTAGAGGTCTGTAATATTATGTATAAAAATAGTTTTGGTTTATTTTCAAACTATGGCGGAACAAATTAGACTGTGGCAGGCCGCCACGGTCTCGTTAATTAATGGGAATCACTGTAAGTGATACACAAGTAGATCCCGCAAAACAAAATGTTTTCACTTAATTTCAGGATAGGGAATTGACCAGATCAATTGTCTTGGAAAATGGCATCACCATTAAGATAATGTTATGTTTGCAGTGTCAGTGTCCTGTGAAAACACTATCTCTAAAAAGTCAACTCATTATTGACATCAGTTTACCCCCATACCTCTGGCTTGTGGAGTAATAGCACCAGCACAGGACTGTGATGTGTGACTGCATTGTTGTTGCACAAATGAGCTGCATGCAACGCAGATGGCATGCCTCTTGCTATATCAAAAAGCAATACCTGTTCTAACTGACAGACCAGGGGCTTCACTATCTCCACTCCATATCCTCCATGTGCTCCATGTACTGCATGGCTCTGCCATACATGGCCTTGCCAGTCGAATGGTGCAATGATACCACCTGAAGCTATGACCCCACTGACAGGATGTTTGTATGGTGGGCGTGGCCTCCCTCCAAATTAATTGGAAGTTTGCACACTCAGACTTGCTGAAAGTGCTGTCTGTCTTATCTTTCCCACCACCTCTTCAAGACCAACCCTGGACCACATCAGATGCATGTTGTGCTTGTTTTAAAGAGCCTATAGGGCACAACAGTGATGGTGGCATGCACAAACATGCTCTTGATTGGCTTTTTAGGTAAAATTTTGTCAACATGATTTTGGCATGGGATCGGTGTCGACCGATGTTCATGTCCAACAATGTGAGGATGAAGTGTGGTCATGCTCCAAAATGTTGCAGGTTACTCAAGCTGACCAGTGACACGCAGCCTTCATCTGCATGGGCAGTGACATGGCCATACGTGTTTTTCTGCCCTTTTCTCATCCCCTCATTACATTCCTTACATTCTTCACTTGGCACAAGCTCCTATCAAGACTGAACTTCACAGGAGTGAAACAAGCCTCAAAACCCCAAGACCCGACAAAAAACAGCTGAGGTTAATGGAAAAGTCATTTTTGCAGGTATGTGATCGTAATCTAAAGTACTGGAAAAACTGAAATTTTGATCTGATGGTGGTGCTGGATGAAAAGTCAAGGGACCAGAGTGATTATAGATCATCCTGAAGGGGAATGGTGTCAAACCATCTAATAGTGGTTGAGATATTTAAACATAATGGTGGAGCTAGACTAAGAGTCAGGATCACCAAAGTCATTAGGTTTCATCCTCTGATCACCATGAATGTCTGTACAAACTTTCACAGCAATCCATCAAATAGTTGTTGGGAAATTTCCTTCTGACAGAAAGTGGTTGACCGACAGACCAACACTGCCATAGAGCCATGCAGCTAATAAAGAAGTTTCTTTCACTCAATCAATAATCACTTAAAACCTGTTCAAAGCTTCTATTGCGAGACTTAGATTATGTGTCTTGTTGATAAACTGCTGTCAGTCTTCAGATAAAGACGAAGCCTCTGACTCTGAACTAACAGCTTTTATAATCATTATCAATGTTCAGTGGGAGTTGTTTCCATTAGAAAAGATCTAACCTGTAAACAGTCATGTGATTGTCGCATACCTTTTTATGTTTTAATATGGAGTTTTAATGCTCTGACTGTAAATCTTTCCCTCATTATATTGTAAATCAAGATTAATGGAAAGTATTAAACACTCAGGATCAGTATTTAAAATTTGACATCAACCGACATGCTTGTATAATTTGGAGTTTTTAAATTCTACTTTAATTAAATCCACAATATGCAGTTTTCCTTAAATATTCATTAAAATGTATGGTATTGGAATTTGGAAGTTTGAATCATATCCACACCTAAATTAATCTAGTTTCACTTTTGGCTAATGTGCTTTTTACAGATGAGGTTGTTGGACAGATGATTGTTAAGATGACACTGCAAACACTTTCCTTTACTTCAAAGCATACATTTTAAGTTGGTTTAATCTGTATATTCACTTTTAAACCAAATATGTTCATTATTTATCCAAAACCGAGGCATTTTTCGCTTAGGTATATAGATGAAGAATACATTCAGCTTGGAAGTGACAAAAATACAGATTTAACCAGGAAGAGCCTGCATTTAATTGAAATACCAAATGAATATTTCTGAGTGTTTTGACTTTTACTACTACTGCATGTAAATACCACTTATGAATGCGTTGTAAAAGCTGGTGCTCTTACTTTTAAATGAATAGTTGTTTGAAAGAAGCAGTTTTAGGCAGAATGATTTCCCTTAGTGCTATAAATATCCTTAACAGGCAGCAACACACAGTGGAGATCTTTGCTAACAAAGTCATTTTATTGTAAAGAATAAACCTACAGAGTACAATTCATCTGAAGAATGGTATTGTATATAAGAAGATAACGTATCTGAAGACAGACACACATCTACAGAAAAGTGTACATAGATCATCTCAATTTGTCTTATTACATTTCACGTTAAAGTTAACATGACAACAAATAACAGTGGACAAATAAGACTCATAGAGCTATATAAAGTTATTGTTTGTATTATTATTAATATTGATTATGT